CCAAATGAAAGACCCCCGTCTGGAGTCTTCCCTCTGGAGAGACCCTCGCCCAGAGATCACACCGAGACCACAAGTCAGATGCAAACAGCAAGAGGCTTTATTCAGGAACACGGGTACCCGGGGCGATACAGTCCCTCCAGAGGCTGAAGAGACTGGCGCGCCCACGGGCTGGAGTGGAGGGTTTTTATAGGGTTGGGCAGCGGAAGGGCGGGTACAGAAGCAGGAAGCATAGTTTACAGGGTTGTGATTGGACGATTCGTATGAGGCCAGGTTCAAACTCAGGACAGCTCGTGGTTTTTCCCCGAGCTCGACACGCCTGCTGACTTGGCTCTCATCCAGGGTACAAGTTGTTTTTCTGACCTCTAGTTACTTTTCAGGCCTTGCTCAAAAATGGCGTTAGGCTAAGCAAGTATGCTGGGGCCCTTCAGTAAAAATATCAAACAAAGAAAAAAGTCTGCCAGGCTTGGTGGCAGAGGTCTTTAATCCCATTGCTAGGAAGAAAGAGGCAGGTGGATCTCTGTGAATTTGAGACCAGCCTGCTCTACATAGTTCCAGGCTAGCCAGGGATACACAATGAAACCCAGTCTCAGAACAAACACACAACCTCACAATGAAACCCATTATTTTGTGCAAATAATATATCATAAAATTAAAAAAGATGAAGTATAAAAATAGCAAGTGTGTGATTCTAAAGTAGTATTCTCAAATGAAGAAGTTACATGTATAATTTTATTTATATTTATTTTTTGAAATGGATCCTGATACCTTGCCCTGGCCTTTTCTGCAATTTTGACCCCAAATGACTACCTGTCTCATTACTTCAAGTAGCAGGGACATCAGGTGTGCACAGCAGTGTACATAATAATTAAAATTGTTTTGGTAGCTGTTGTATTAGTAATTTTCTTGTTGCAGAGACAAGAACATCTTAAGGGAGAACGGTTTGTTTGGACTCCTGGTTGGGGTAGTCAGTCACTCTGGGAAGGCTTGGTAGCAGGAGGATGAGGCTGCTTGTCATCTGTCCTCAGCCAGGAAGCCAGGAGTGATAACTACTGGTGCTCAGCTTGCCTGCTCCTTTTCATTTAGTCCTGGACCCCAGGCCATGGAACTGATACTGCCCACTGTTAAGGTTAGTCTTCCCGTTTCAGCTAACCCAGTCTAGGAACTCCCTCACAGAGATGCCTAGAGGCCTCTCTCTAAGATGATTCTAGATGCCTTAAGGCTGACAGCATTGACCATCACAATTAAAATTAACCATATGAATAGAATTTCCAGATTCAGTAAATGAGAAGTATACCTGGTTAAACTGAAACTTTAGATAAAGAAGGAAGAATGTAGCTTGAGTTTTCCTGCCTGGCCCACAGCCTCTCAGACCTGAACAAGTAACACAGAGACTTATATTGGTTACAAACTGTATGGCTGTGGCAGACTTCTTGCTAACTGTTCTTACAGCTTAAATTAATCCATTTCTATTAATCTATACCTTGCCACGTGGCTCGTGGCTTACCGGCATCTTCACATTCTGTTTGTCATCATGGCGGCTGGCAGTGTCTCTCTGACTCAGCCTTCCACTTCCCAGCTTTATTCTCCTCCTTGTCCCGCCTACACTTCCTGCCTAGCCAATGGCCAATCAGTGTTTTATTTATTGACTAATCAGCAACACATTTGCCATACAGAACATCCCACAGCACTTCCCCCTTTTTTTTTCAAAAAGGAAGGTTTTAACCTTAACAAAGTAAAATTACATATAATTTGGGAATTTGGGCGTAGCTTCTCTTACTACTTCCTGCTGGAGGGGGGCGCTGTATCTTATGGGGACACAAAGAAAATTTTAGGATCATGGAGTAGTCCGTGAGGCTGTGTCGTCTGAGCCAGTTGCCTTGAAACCATTCTGGATGTTGGATCATCTGGGCCATGGTGTCATCGGAGACCTTTCAGGGGGTTTTGGCTGGTCAAACCTGATGTATCTTAATCTGGAACAAATCCATAGCCTCTGACTTTCTGTGGGAACAAAAGCAGAGTCTCCTTTCCAAAACAACATATCCTTATATCCAAATTTTGAAGTCAAGGTACCTTTAAAATATACATATTGATTTAACTCAACATCTTTTACGATCAAATGTTTTTCTGCAGTTAAAAATCCCAAAGACAACACAATCCAGATTTTCTGTGTAATATTCATCTTTACGTGGCTTATTTTTTATATTAATTTACTGTCTCTTTAAGGACTTTATTTTTTAAAACTATGTATTTGTTTATATAACTGTATATATCACCTTTTTTGTCTCTTTCAAGCCTACGTATATTTTACACACGTTGTAAACTATTACATCTGACTCTGTCTTATTGTGAATCTATTGCATTAAACTGCAGCAGCTGTGGCTGCTGGCTCCGCCCACCTCAGCTTCCCAACGTGGCAGTGGTACGCATTCCACCAGCTCTGGGAGCTATCTTGGGTCTATGCCTTTATCCAAGCAGCGTGTAGTCCAGAAACCTCTTTTTTTTTTTTTTTTGTTTTGTACTAGCAAAGGCTAAATCCACCATGCAGCTTAATGTGCCACTTGCAGAGGCCTCATTCCCGCCAAACTGCAGGTTGAGTGCGTACACCAGAATCCCACAAGTAGCTCAAACTGGCAGCTGCCGCTCATTTGAGAGAGACAATTAGGAAGCTGTTTTTAGCTTCGTTTTAGAATCTTTTTTCTCAGTTTTTAGGTGGAAACTCTTGCCCCACGTTGGGCGCCATTTGTAGCTTGAGTTTTCCTGCCTGGCCCACAGTCAGGACAAATTTCTATCACCTGCCAGTCCCACAGCCGCTCAGACCTGACCAAGTAAACACAGAGACTTATATTGGTTACAAACTGTATGGCTGTGGCAGGCTTCTTGCTAACTGTTCTTACAGCTTAAATTAATCCATTTCTATTAATCTATACCTTGCCATGTGGCTTGTGGCTTACCGGCATCGTCACATGCTGTTTGTCATCATGGCGGCTGGCAGTGTCTCTCTGACTCAGCCTTCCACTTCCCAGCTTTATTCTCCTTCTTGTCCCGCCTACACTTCCTGCCTAGCCAATGGCCAATCAGTGTTTTATTTATTGACTAATCAGCAACACATTTGCCATACAGAACATCCCACAGCAGAAGAATTTTAATTATAATTATGTCCCTGCAGGGATATGTGAAATTGAGTTGTAAGCTGGTGTCGTGGGTTCTACCTGGCAGTGCTGCATATTAAAAGCTTTTAGAGAGCCGGGTGGTGGTGGCACATGCCTTTGATCCCAGCACTTGGGAGGCAGAGGCAGGTGGATCTTTGTAAGTTCGAGGCCAGCCTGGTCTATGGAGCGAGATCCAGGAAAGGCGCAAAGCTGCACAGAGAAACCCTGTCTTGAAAAACCAAAAAGAAAAAAGCTTTTAGAGCTGGGGTGTGGCTCAGTGGGAGAGTGCTTGTCTGCCATGTGCCAGGCCCTGAGTTTGATCCCACCACTGTAAGAAAAACTATTCTTTAAAAACTATGAAATAAATTGTAATAATATATTTAACCCCGTATATCTGGAATGTTATCATTTCATCATAAAATTGGCATGCAAAGTATTGTAATGCATTTGATTTTTATTAAAAAATCATTAATCCCTATTTCTCACACTAAGTTTCAGGCCTTCAGTGTGTGTTTTACAGGACATTTCAGTTGAATCTAGTGACGTGCACATTTAAATACTTAGCAGCTACTTCTTGTTAGTGCCTACCGTTTTGGATGGTATTATTTTAAGGCCTTTAAAAAATTTTGGGTTGTTACTAATAATTTGAACATTACAAGATGTTCCTATTTTATTTTTTCTGGTACTGGGTATTGACGAGACTTTTTCTTTCTCCTCCTCCTCCTCCTCCTCCTCTTCCTCTTCCTCCTCCTCCTCCTCTTCCTCCTCCTCCTCCTCCTCCTCTTCCTCCTCCTCCTCCTCCTCCTCCTCCTCCTCCTCCTCCTCCTCCTCCTCCTCCTTCTTTTTGGTTTTTTGAGACACGGTTTCTCTGTGTAGCTTTGCGCCTTTCCTGGAACTCACTTTGTAGCCCAGGCTGGCCTCAAACTCACAGAGATCCGACTGGCTCTGCCTCCCGGGTGCTGGGATTAAAGGTTTGTGCCACCACATCAATTCTACTTCGTTTGAATCTTCACTGTAGCGCTTGCTCCTTTAGGTTTTTTAAATTTTTAAAATTTTTATTTTTAAGGAGGGAATACTCCAATGTTTTTTTCTTTTTTTAAATTTTTCTTGACAGGGTTTCTCTGTGTAACAGTTCTAGCTGTCTAGGAACTCACTGTCTAGACCACGCTGGCCTTGAACTCAGAGAGATCCGCCTGGCTCTGTCTCCCGAGTGCTGGGATGAAAGCCGTGTGCCACCACCGCACGGCTGTGCCACCACTGCCCAGTGATGTTCCTATTTTATGAGAATGCTTTTCAATGTTTTTTGTTGCTTTCTCCTGTGGGGTTTTTTTTGGGTGGGGGAGTTTGGTTCTGGGGATTTAACCCAGGGCCTATGCATGCTAGTTTTCCCTTAAAAAAACTCGTCATGGTTTTATTTTATAAAGGCTGTATCAGCCTTCTTAGGTTTGGGCGTCATATTCTGCTCCGTCATCACTTTGCTAACTGAGCCATCTTCTCAGATCTGGAAAGACTTCTTTGCGTCGGTGTTATGATTGGGTGACACAGCATGAAGACACAGTGTTGAGCAGAGTCTGCAGACCATCAGGGGGTGAACTAGACATCTGTTGATGTAACTCTCAGACTCTTTAGCACAGGGTGGCAATTACACACCAAAGACTCAGGACCTGCAGTCCAAATAATCATTTGCCTACAGCCCCATGTGAGTTCAATTCAAAAACTACTCTCATTTTGAATGTGCTGGATCATCTCTACCTTTACACACACACACACACACACACACACACACACACACACACACACACACACACACACACACGTCTGCGCACATGCTCATGCACTGTTACCATCTAATAGTTGTGATAATACAGTCAATTTTATTTGGATAGCATTTTGGAAATGTGTGTTAATCTTAATATGGATTTTGCCAATCCTTGACTAACACATTTTCAAGAAAAATCTTACAAACCTCTTTCTTTGACTAGTTAGTGGTCAAGACAGTTTAGAAATGTTTGTTCTTAAAAAACAAGAAGATTATCTGGAAGAGTGGCTGAGAGTTTAGGAGACAACATGTATTTCTCCACAAGTCCAGCTTAATGTTCATTGTTTCTGTTAGTCCCTTTCAGCAGGAAAGGCTTTAATTTTGTTTTCTTAAGACAGGATTGCTTGTAGTCCAGGCTGGTCTTGTACTCCTGATATAGCCAAGGCTGACCTTGAATTCCTGATTCTCCTGGCTCCCCCCTACAGTGCTAGGATCACAGATGTGTTCCATCACACCAAGCTCATCTTACACATCTATTTTCCAGTTTGGCAGGTGCCGAGGAACCTTATTAGAATGCAGTGATTAGAACCTTGGGGTTTTCTTCTCTGTCCATTGAGGCTGTTGATTTTTTCCCACATCGGAACCTGAAAATAAAATAATGGCTGAAGAAAATGAAACAGTTAGGACTCTTCTTAAAACACCAGACTGACACCAGAAAACATTTCCCCATTTGACCAATGAAAAACATGAGAACTCTTTAAAGAAGCTGGCAGGTGCAGACCTCATGATTTATGATTTGGAGATACTTTCTTGATTAAACACAAAGCCTGGAATCTAAGGTCTTCCGTTTTCCCCAAGAAAGGATAGAGCATAGCAGAAAGCCCATGGTAATACTGAAGAATTACACTGAGGAGTTAGAATGATTACATGAATTATCAAACCCAGGTACCTGCGCAAATTTGTAACAGACCAGTATCTACACATTCAGACTTAGCCTTATTATGGCCAGCCATGGCTAAAACTTATCTCACAGAACCCCCAGGTACCTGTGTGAAATATTCCCATGTAGTAAGTGGTAAGACCGAGGGTTGAGAAAACATAATTTCCTCAACTTTATGTCATAAGTTGGGAATTTGAAGCCAGCCCATTACAATTCAGAATCTCAATTTCTCCACCAAGCCACTGAGCTTTACACCTGTCAAGCTGTGTTATTTGGGATGTTTAGTCTTTGCCTCTTTTTCCTGGCACAGAGCTCCTAAGTCTCTTGTGGTTTCCTGAGTGATCTGGGTGATAGATTGTTTTGGTTCTTTGAGGGGCTCTTAGCTAGCCCAGCATGGGGGCCATCTGCCTGAAGGAAGAAGCTTTGACTTAAGAGCGCAGATCTTTTTGGCTTTGTTCTCTCAGCCTCTGCAGATAAGAGCAGGGTGGGTATAGGATTAATGACCAGTTAAGCCCACAGGATGGAGAATCTGCAAACAGTGGGTTTTGGGGAGCTTCTGAATCACTGACCACCTCTGCTGTCAGGATAGTAGTGCACCCCAACCCACAAGAGCAGGAGCCCCACACTCAAGGTCTTCCAGCACACACCTGTCTGTATTCTTCCTAAGACAGTGACGGCAAGGGAAGTGTTTCTCTAAGCTCCGTGAGCCTTTCTAATAAATGACTGAACACAAAGATTGGAGCTGTGGGACCCCAGGGTTTTGTAGCCAAATGAGACATTAGTGAGAGTGACCTGTGGCTGGCACCAGTAGTTTGAGAAAGGTGTGGGGTCTGATGCTGACTGCAGTGTCAGAACTGAGGCAGATTGTAGGAACACCCTGATTTGTGTTCCTGTATGTGTGTGTGGGTACACCAATGTGTATGTAGATGCATGTTGGGTGTTTTCACTTCACCTTAGTTTTTGAGGCAATGTCTCCCTCTGAACCTGAAGCTCAATGATTTGACCAGATTGGCTGGCCAGCAAGTCTCAGGGTCAGCCCTGCCACTGCTTTTCTGGTACTGGGGTTTCAGAAGTAATGCCTGGTTTTTACATAGATGCTAATGAAGTGTAAGCCAAAATAAACCCTTTCTGCATAAGCCGTTCTTGATCATGGTAGTCTATCACAGCGACAGAACAGCATCTACTACAGAGATAACTTAGGGAAATCAATTCTCTCCTTCCACTCTGGGTTCAAGGATCGGAGCACAGGCAATCAGTCTTGGCGGTAAGCACCCTCACCCTCTGCCACACCTCATTGGCTCTCTATTTCTTTATACATATGATGAGGGGCTTGTTTTTCATGTGTGCTGCATACTTAAATCTTACCTTCTCTGAGCCGTTGATTCCTGTCCTTTGCTGCGGATAACCTTTTCCTCACAGACTGCAGGACTTGGGATTTCAGCCTCTGTCTACATTTGTGCCTCACATATTTTTCCCTTGCTCACCGACTTTGATTTTGTTACTGGTTTTTGTTTATTGGTTGGTTGCCTTGGGGCCAGGGTCTCACTATGTAGGATGACCTTTAACTCTTGATCTTGTCTCTCGCTCTCTGCTCAGTTCACATTTACACAAATTGTTCTGTTCTTGTAGATTCATGATTTTGGATTTTTAGTCCTAAATATGTTTTTTTTCTAGAGCTTATCTTGGTGCATTTGGGAGGACTCAATTTTCATTCATTAAAAATATCTAATTTATTTACATATGTATGCATGATGTATTTATGGATGAAAGGACATTGAGGGGCTTCATTATTAGAATCAGGCTGGTCTCGAACTCATGTACTCATGTGACCCTTACTTAACCTTACCCTCCCTTGAAGCTTGGACTACAGGTGTGTGCCCTGCTCTTCCTAATGGATTTTAAGTTGATATGTGGTTTGTTTGTTTGTGTGAAGTCATATTCTGAATTCTCTTATTTTCTTGGTCTTAGTCCCGAACTCTGTCCTGCTCCACTGGTTTCTGTCCCTACAGTATTGCCATGCCACTCTAATTAGCCTGCTCAACAATAGTCTTGAGTGCCCTCCACCAATCTCTGCTCATGCTCCTCTTTGTCAGAGCATGGTAGATATTCCCCCATGTTTATCCTCCCAATCCTTTTGCCACTTACCCTCTTACTTTCTGCATCTGCTCTAAGGTTTCTGGTAGAGTCCCTCCAAAACTTTCAGGGAAAAAAAGGGTGACGATTCCAATCAGGACAGTCAGACTGCCCATGAGAATGTAGGGCAGGAGTCTGTTATAGGCACCTGTAAAGCACAGAACATCAACTAGATGCAGGCTTGCTCCTGGGAGTCATTTTGTTAAGGTGCAGACAGGCTGTGAGAGCAGATTTAAGCTAAACGTTTTCAGAAGAAGGAAAGTCAGCAAAATACCAGAGGTTGTTCCAGTGGGATGCCATGGCCTGCATTCCTACAATTATTTACCCCTTGGTTGTACATTAGCATACTCTTAGGTTCTAAGATTGTCCAACCGTGCATGACAGATGTTCCTTGGATAGATGTCTTCACTATCAAAGCTTCCTTAGGTGGAGGTAAGGTGAGATGGGTGGTGAGAGGACTGAGCTGTGTAGCAGAGGATGATTTTGAACATGTGATTCTCTTGCCCTCACCTCTGTGACTCCATCCATGGATTGAGTGCTGGGGGGCAAACTCAGGACTCTGTGCTTGCTTAATAGGCAAGGATTGTACTGACTGAGTCCCATGCCAGCCCTATTCCACTTCTCTTTATGGAGCTACTGAGACAGGAGGACAAGAGATGCCATCTTGCTGCTCCTTTGCACACAGAATGGAAAAACAACACACCCATGCATGTAGTATTTTTTTGGCCAATAAGGTAAACACTGCTCTTGAGGCTTTTCTGTGGCCTTGTATTGCTAACAGGAATAGCTTCTTATGCTTAAGGCTCTTTCAGGACCCTGCTTCTTACCAGCCAGTGGCTCAGCACTGGATCATTTAAGTGGAGTTGAGAAGTATAGTGAGAAGTGGCATCACCCGATACAGTATGCTGTCACAGTATGCTCAGGGCAGCTGTGCTCAGGGCAGCTGTGCAGGGTGTGTTAAAGTTAGGAAAATGTGTTTCTTTCTCTGTATGGATTTAGAGTGTGCTTTTCTGAGAAGTCATCTCTGGTGTGTGTGTTGGATCCAGTAGATAACCAACATGTGAGCAAGAAAAATAAGGAAGTCTGTTTATATCAGTCAGTTCCTAATGAAGACCAGGCTGAGAACACTGAACAACATCCCACTAAAGTCCCTTTTAATATTATTTAAGACTGCTATATTTGATTAGACAGGAACTAAAAATTTATGTCTTGGGCAGGGCGGTGGTGGCATATGCTTTTAATCCAAGCATTCAAGAGGCAGAGGCAGGCATATCACTGTGAGTTCAAGGCCAGCCTGGTCTATAGAGTGAGTCTTAGGACAGGCTCAAAAGCTATACAGAGAAACCCTTTCTTGAAAAAACAAAAACAAAAAAATCCCAAAGAAAAATATAAACTGTAAGTGATTACCTAGGAAAATATTTATAAAACATATATAAAATGTATACAGAAGGCTAACTTCTCTATACTATAAAGAACTCATACACACCACAAAGAAAATTTGAGCCTAGCCACTGAACCACTGTGGAGGACTCCACAGCACCCTCTGAGTACCAGTCATTCTTACACTGTGTGTCTGTCTGCTGATGCTCTCCCAGCCCTCCTGAAGCTGGTTCCACCAAGAACAAAGAATCCTAACTTGTGTCCACTGGTTAGAACCTCTGCTCTTTCCATCCCTTTGTCTGCTTCCTGCTCACACTGAGGAGGTTATCCATACATGAATTCAGGCCTGGAGAGATGGTTCAGTGGTTAAGACCACTTGTTGCTCTTGAAGAGGGTCCAAGTTTCACTCACAGCACCCATATGGTGGCTCCTTCCATAACTCCAATTCCAGGAGGTCAGACACTCTCTTCTGACCACCCTGGACACCAGGTACAAAAGTGCTTATATTCAGGTTAAACAGTCGTACACATAAAATACAATATTTGTTAAATCAAGAGACTGGGGGTGGGATCTAACAGAGTCATAGCAGGAGGATCCTTACTACTACATCCAAGGGGTCACTGAGAGTCATGAAAAGAAACTTCGAGGGCTTTAAGATAAGATGTGCCTGCAACGGAGCTGTAAAACTGAGCAGTCAGAGTATGGAGAAGTGATTCAGCTATAGTGTGACCAGCACAGGACCCAAACCAACTTCTCCTGTAAGGGGACTGGCCAAAGAAGGTCCTTGTTCATACACACAATGCACATAACACCCACATGCAACATACACATAGATTTTAAAAAACCCACTTATTTAAAGATAGAACAAGATGCATCTCACCCAGGTAAACAAAATAGGGAGCGATGATGCTGCCCACCCGAGAGGCCATGGAGGTGATGCCCACAGCCATGTTCCTGACCAGGGTTGGGTAGAGCTCTGCAGTGAAGACATACAGCATGGAGAAGGCAGAGGTGACCCCAAATTTCCCTAGCATCACCAGGCCGATGGACACCAAGTTATAATCTGGAAAAGAGCTTTATTTCAGACAGGGTGTTTCTAGACTCGATACTGAATTCAGTTACTTTATTGTCCTTTTTTGCTGCAATGTGGTGGTCCCCTCATAAAGTACTGCTAGACAAGACTGTCTTCAAATATCCTAATCACCAGGTGGTTGAAGATGGAAGGCGATGGATGGGTGGCCTTGGACTTGGAGCTACCCTTATTTTGGATTATTAATGCATACTGTGACCTCTGTCCACTTGTCTCATTTGCTACACCGGTTTCATGGTGAATTGTTAGATGTTAATACAGTTAAGCTTAATCTTTAAAGAGAGGGGACAGTCCTTCCTTTTCTGTTTTTAATTATTAAGAAATCTAGGTCTAAGCCGGGCGTTGGTGGCGCACGCCTTTAATCCCAGCACTTGGGAGGCAGAGCCAGGCGGATCTCTGTGAGTTCGAGGCCAGCCTGGGCTACCAAGTGAGTTCCAGGAAAGGCGCAAAGCTACACAGAGAAACCCTGTCTCGAAAAACCAAAAAAAAAAAAAAAAAAAAAAAAAAAAAAAAAAAAAAAAAAAAAAATGAAATCTAGGTCTAGTAGGGCTCAGTGGTGCATGCTTAAAAAAATTCTTTTTCCATGTGGTGTGCACATATATGTGCTGTTTACATGATTTTGTATGTGCATAGTCATGCAAGGCTAGAGTTACAGGTGAACCATCATGCCTGCCCAGCATTTATGTGGGTTCTGGGATCTAAACTCAGATCCTCATGCACTTTAACCACTGAGCTATCCTCCCAGCTCCTGGTGCATGCTAATAATCCCAACTACTAAAACTTCACTGGCTGAAGCAGGAGGACCACAAATTCTAGGCTAGCCTAGGCTGTGTAATGAGTTCAAGGTCTTGGCTCTATATAAAAATAAACAAAGGGCTGGGGATATGGCTCCATGGTAGAGTTCATGGCTGTGTAAGACACTGGGTTTAAACCTTAGTACTGTAGGGGTTAAAAACTTAATGACAAAAAGAAACATTGTTCTTTGCATATTACAATGTATCAATAATATATCAGCCTGTTTTTTTTTTTTTTTTAACAAAAGTAGAAAGTTAGACACACTAGAAAAAGGAAATCTATCCCCCTCTGTGCTGTGGGTATCGCTCTGTATGCTATGAATGTGTTGCTTTGATTGGTTAATAAATAAAGTGCTGATTGGCCAGTAGCCAGACAGGAAGTATAGGTGGGACAAAGAGAGAGGAAAAGGCTGAGAACAAAAAGGCTGAGTCAAGAGTCGCCAGCCAGACATAGAGAAAACAAAATGTAAAGACAGAACTAAAAAAAGGTACCAAGCCACGTAGCTAAACATAAATAAAAATTATGGCTTAATTTAAGTATAAGATCTAGTTAGCAAGAAGCCTTAGCCATTAGTCCAAACAGTTTTAATTAATATAAGCATCTGTATGTTTATTTGGGTCTGAGTGGCTGCGGGGCCCCTGGCGGCACTGGAGAAATCTCCAGCTATACCTGTGTTATTTTTGTTATTGTTTAGTCTTACTGCAGCACCCCCACATTTATTAGTTATTTCTATGGGCAAGTGTGTGTCAGGACATGTATGTAATGAGAGGAAGCGATGCTGGAGTCAGTTCTCTCCTTCTGCCATGAGAGTTCTAAAGATGGAAGGAAGTCAGGTCTTAGGCTTGGCAGAAAACGCTTTTACACACTGAACCATTCTCCTTGCACTATCTGGATGTTTTTGTTTGTATTTGTTTGAGGTAGGCAGGAAATACCTATGGGAAAAACTTTGGAAGTGTCTCATGCAGCCTGAGCTGGCCTCAAATTAGCTTTGTAACTGAGGCTGGCTTTGAACTGGTCCTCCTGCCTTTACCTCCCGAGTGCTGAGATTTTAGGGGTGGGCCACCACGCCCTACTGGGACAGTTGTTGGGAACATAGAAAATATCACAGTCAGCTGTCACCTGCCTATCCGATTGATGAACATTTGGTGATATCAAAGCTGTGATATGGGGGAGTGGTGACTCCTGAGAGGCTAGTCACCAGTACTGATACTCTAGACCATTAATGTATCCAGGTTTCTGGTATGCTGTTAGACTGGGCTAACTTCTTACCTTCAGGTACCACTTGGACCAAGAGAAGCACACCTCCTCCCCAGAACAGCACCCCAGCTATAATGTATCTCCGAGGCAGGGTTCTCAGCAGCAGCCAGGCTGTGAAATAAGCTGGAACTTCAATCAGGCCAGAGAGGAAGCAGTTCAGGTAGATATCTCCATGTAAATTAGGAACATTGAGAGACAGAGCAAAGTAACCCACTGAGGTTAGCATCCTGAAAGACAAATGATATAATCACAAAAATATGGCCCATGGCTCTCTAAACTTTTGTGATGGTCATGAGTTGGTCCTGTGTCCTCTAAGCAAGTGCTAGTCATGTGGGACTATTTGAATGGAAATAGACTAAAGTGAGATTATAAATTTCTCAGTTGAAATGACACTTTATGTGCCTAGTAGTCACATGAGTCTGGTGACTACTATGATGGACAACACAGATCCCAAATATTTCTGTGTCTGCAGAAAGTGTTGTAGAACAGTGCCATTCTGAATAAACCACTAGTCAACAGTGCAGATGCTCCTGTTAGGACATCTGAGCATGACTGGAGAGCACACATCTCTAAAGAAGACTTCCAGGAGCATGTTTGGGTCTCTATCTATTAGAGCAGGTGGGGACATAGGACTAATCCGAAGCAACATGAAACAGTGAACTTTACTGTGCAGGTATTCAGTGACGCTCACTTGTGGTGTAAGAGCAGCTTGGATGGGGCTAGGTCTTGGGGATTATTGGCTCCCTGGTGCCATCCGCTGGATCCATTGCGTGAGTGATGTGTGCAGAGAGCTAAGAATGAAGGCCGCTCACAGAGCTCACAGAGGCCATGGTCCAGGATATTTCATAATGACATTTTTTCTAATTTCGAAACAGCATGGTTCTAAAATAGAGAGCCTGCCAGTTCTGGTACTTACCTGCGCGCGCGTGTCGCGCGCGTGTGTGTGTGTGTGTGTGTGTGTGTGTGTGTGTGTGTGTGTGTGTGTGTGTGTGTTGCTATCTCTGGGGCAGATAGGTTGTTATTATTTTTCCTTCCTTATTTCTTTGAAGATTTGTTACTAAATCTAGTTAATAAAGTCAGGTCATTACTTCTGTGCCTTAAAGTCACGTGTTAGTGTGCTACTGGAGAGGCAGGTTACGCTGACTTCACTGCTCAGGTCCAGAAAGCAGGTGGAGACTTAACACTTCTGCTTTGGTCCCCAGGGGCATCTGCAGCCTCAAGCCCATCACTTTCCATGGTGGAGTTCCCATACTGCAGACTTGTTGTTACCTATAGCTGTTACAGTATTCGGTCCAATCAATCAGTGTGACATGTCTAAAGACCTTAGAATTTCACAATTTTCATTTTGCTGCAGGGGAAGCCTAGGTTTTATCACATTCCTTCAAACTAAAGAAAATCAGTTGCATATTTGGTTGTCACACACCTGTATTCCCAGAGTACTCATTGCTTACCACAGCATCACAGACATCACTGTTATTGTAGCAATGTTCCGAGTCTTGAACAGGTCCAGAATGAAGGCTTTTGGCTGCTTCAAGGAATTTAGCTCCTGTAGCTAAAGTAACATAAATAAACCATAAGACAAAGAGGTAGGCAGGAAGTACCTATGAGAAAAACTTGGGCATACACCTCATTTTTATTAATTTAATTTAAAATTATTATCATTATCATTTTTACTGTTACTATTATTTTAGGACAGGGTCTCATGTATTCCAGGCTGGCTTTTAACTCACTACGCAGATGACCATGGTCTTGAACTTCGGATCTTCCTTCCTCCACCTCCACAGTGCTGAGATTACTGGTGTGTGTTACCATGCCAGGTTTGATGCTGGGGACTGAAGCTTTGTGTGTTCTAGGTGAGCTCTCTACCCACTGAACTACATCCTAGCCCATTCACACAGCTCTTATAGAACCTCTGATATGCCTTCAGATCCAGAAATGGAGGGCAGCAAGGACATCTCCAAATATGGTACTCATTCTAACTCTTTATTTAAAACATAATTCTAAATTCAGACTTGGATAATTTCATGCATGCCTCTAATGGATTTTGATCGTATTTCCCCCGCCCCGCCCTCCTGCTCCCTCTGGAATCTTTCTTCTTCCCAGTGTCTCCTCCTTTCACATCTGGTTACACCCATGAAGAAAATGACTCCGTCTTCCCCGCCAGCAGCCATTACCTACCAATAGCTCCTCAGCTAGGAGCAAGGGTTGATGGGATCTCCCAGTCCCATGCTGGGATGTTGAAGGTAACCTCAGCTGCTGTGGGTTCCTTAGTGCAATGGCTGTGTCATGTCCAGAAGCTAGCATTTTACATAACTTCTCCTCCTCATCTGGCTCTTGCTCCTTCCACCCTGTCTTCCATATTGTTTCCTGAGTTTCTAATGCTTTAAAATCTTTAATGTAGCCCGTTTTAGATAGAAGCCTTCAAAGTAAATGACACCAGGCTCATTGATAAGTGCTGACCTGCTTTTCCTCCACTTAACTTAAACATGTGAATAGTCTTTACCACACTGGGATGGGATCTGTAAAGCCTATTGAGTTGACAGAGCCATGAAGCTCCACAATGCTTAGAGGGCAGTGTGTGTGTGTGTGTGTGTGTGTGTGTGTGTGTGTGTGTGTGTGTGTGTGTGTAACGGGCCTTGTGCACGCTAGGCAAGCACCCCCCCCCCAAAGCTATATTCCCAGTCCTTGTCTGCTAACATCAGAGGAGATTCTGGAGTCAGGCTTGGTGGCACCTGCCTGTGAGCCCAGATGAGTCAGGACTGGGAGTTCAAGACCAGCCTTGGCTACATAGGGAGTTCAGGGCTAGCCTGAGCTACATGAGACTGTGTCTTAAAACAGACCAGACTCAGGGTAGCTAAGGCCCTGGGCAAACTGTTTATCTTCTCAGAGCCTCAGTTTACTTCTCTTGTAAGATGTAATTGGGGGTTGAAGAAATCAAATAATATCTAAAACCCAGCATCATAAATGCCCACTACATCTTAACTATTATTGTTATCACTTCCCCGTTGAAGAAGGAGGCTATCCATCTGCGGTTAATGGCAATTCTCTCATTCCCAATGCCAGTCTTCATTTCCTCACTTCTCATTCACTGGTACCCATTTACCATGAGCTATGAATTTAGATAGCCAAGCTGACTAGAGTTGAGGCTGAAAAAGATGTATGGCTGTGAGGCAGGGGATCTCCTGGGGGTAAGGTAGGAGTCTTGTGACCATATGGCATGTGTGCTGTTAGAGACTGAGGAAGCATTTCAGTTGTGAGGAAGTAAGATGGCCCTTTGTAGCAGGTTGTCCTTAAGTGTCAGCCTTCCAGGTAATTAGACATGCATTTGCATAGCTCTCAGTTATGATGATTACCCCCTTTTCATGAAAATGGGAATTGGAAGGCTCCCTCCATGCAGGGCTTTAGGGATTCCACATACAACACAGGACCTAAGGGCCAGGTTGAATCAACACATCCCACTTCCATAGGGCCTCTGTTGAAATGCAGATGGCCAGGTCCCCTCAGGTGAGCTTCCTCTGAATCTTACATTGGGACTGGAGACCTGGGAGCCTGTTTACTTAAAGCTTCATAGGTGACTATGATTAGCAACAAGGTGCAGAAACATCAGGACAAGTATATACTTGGATCCAGTGACTGTCCCTGGTTTGGGGAGAGCCACCCAAATGTCTCTGGATAAGGTACATGAGAAGGTTGAAGGGACTTCTTCCAGTGCCAGGGACGATTAAGGTTACTCTTCAAGATGATGTGACTCTATATGGCTTCCTGTCCAAGTTAACATCAGAGCCCCTGACATAAATTGAAAATTGCCATTCATTAAAGCATGCACTTGATCCCGGAGAAACGCAGGAAAATCATAGCTCAGTAGCAGTATGATTTCTGGTAAGTCATTTCTCTGTGCTTCCATCTCCTTTTCTGAAAAGTGAGCTCATAGCTAGACCTTCTAGCAGTGACTAACATGCACATCACCTGAGTCAGACAGACTTCCTTGTACCCCGTAGTCTCTTCACTGGCATTCTGAATAGGCTGCATTGGCTGATGCAGATCCTCCTACACAGGGTCCAAGTGGGTGGTGAGCAGGGGAGATGGCCGGGCTAGAAAATCAAGGGCTCCATTTCCCTTAGTGGGTGTGTCCAGTTCAAGAGAGATGCACATTGCAACAGGCAGAAAAAAGGTCCCATCAGGGGTTTATGTTTCTGGACTTTGTTCTTTTTCGCTCATGTCAATTTTATGATGCTTCCCTCTGTGTGGATATTATCTTCATGACCATAGTGTCACACTACATTTCTTGAATATAGGAATGAAGCTTTCTATCTGATAAATACGAATATACACATAGCCTTGAAAGACAGAAGCATTATTTATGACCAATGTCCTTCTTGTATCCAGTTAAGTTTACTAGGACTGGGATGAACTTTTGAATTCAGACAGCAAAGGATTAAAGATGCTTTGTCCAGGCAGCCCTCTGAGAGCTTGGGTTCATGGCCACTGGAATGAAGATTCCAGCTGTGACCTAGGTAGCTGCTTCTGGAAAGGGTCCTGATAGCCAGGGATGGTTGAAATCCTGGGGGTGTATCACTGACATGTCCACCATTTCCCACAGAGTCCTGCTTGCTGGTCGAGCCAGTCGTACAAGCCCTACCACACGGCATGCCAACCACTGATGCAGAGTCTTCCTCAGGTGTCTTGAGGGCTCTCTCCCTCATCCTGGCCAGCAGTACCCTAACCTCTCTACTCACCTGTGTCAGTCTCACTGTCCTCCCAGTGTGAACCTGCCTCTTCAGGCCTTGGCTCCCCTGCTGTCTTCCTGTGTATGCTAGCAAGTAGTGTCTGTCTGTTCCTTGGGGTTCTTAGCATCTCTCCTCTGTCATCATTTCCCTTTGCATCAGTTCTTTGCCTCCTTCAGTACATTCTCTGATCCTTTTAGTGTGGGGGCTGTGTCTTAGTTTTCTTGTCTCGAGAGCCAGCACAATATGATACCCCCAAAGTCCTCACTATCACAGTGTAAGTAAACCCCCTGATATATCAGCTTTTCCTCATGGCCACCTGCCTTCAGGAGTGGAGCCTGGAGCCTGTGCTCTCGGGTATGTGAGGCCTTGGGCATGCCAGACACACCAGCTGAAGACGTGTACTGCTCCACTCTCAGGCTTTAAGTGTAATCCAGGATACAGTGGGAACCGAGGGTTGACCAGCCCTCAGATGCACTTTTTCTAGGTATGGCAAGTATTTTAAAAGTCATCAATATAAGAGGCCTGCCTTGGGTGCCATGCAGTGAGTGTCACTACCTTGAGCAAATGGTGGAGAAATCGGAGAGAAAGATAAGCAGAATGGTGTGGTGATGTATTGTTTGTGCACCCCAATATATTGGGTACCCTAATAAACTTATCTGGGGATCAGAGGACAGAGCCATCCACTAGATTAGACATAGAGGCTAGACAATGGTGGCACATACCTTTAATCCTATCACTTGGGAGGTAGAGATCCCTCTGGATCTCTGTGAGTTCAAGGCCACACTGGGAACAAAGCCAGGTGTGGTGGCACACACCTTTAATCTCAGGACTTGAGATCTCATGCCTTTGTTTGGGAAGCACACTCGCCTTTAATCCCAGGAAGTGATGACAGGAAGCAGAAAGGTATATAAGGTGTGAGGACCAGGAACTAGAGGCTTTTTAGCAGCAGTTCAGCTGAGATTCATTTGGGTAAGAACTCAGAGGCTTTCAGTCTGAGGATTCATGGAAACAAGACCGGCTGAGGAGTTGGCAAGGTGAGGTTGGCTGTGGCTCATTCTATTTCTCTGATCTTTCAGTTTTCATCCCAATATCTGGCTCCGGGTTTTTTATTGATTCATCTTACAGAATGGTCCATGTGCTGTGAAGAGAGGGGAAACTGAAGATGGGAAGGCAGTGAAGAAAAGGCTGGTGTGAGAGGCCTGTGTGGCCACCTGAGGCCATGTGATGTCCAGGCTGCCACTGAGTGACATGTCTGGTCCATGCCCTTGCTGTCACCATGGCCGGTGTTGACGTCTGTAGCTGGTGTTACCACTGAAGGCCAGGGTGAGTGGAAGCCTATAGTGTGGGCCACCATTTGAGACCATGTTAATACCCAAGGACAATGCTGCTGCTGAGGCCATACTGACCAGAGGGGCCTGTGCTGCCACCTGAGGCCATGGTGACCTCTGGCCCGGGCTGCAGCTGAGGACCATGTCTGGGTCTGTGGTCCAACTGCAGCTGGATTCTGTGTTGATGCCCATGATGAGTGTTACCACCAAGGACCATATGGATGTCTGTGGTCTGGGCCACCACTGAGGCCGTGTTGATATCCGAGGACTGTGCTGCCACTGGGACCATACTGACCTGGGTGGCTTGCACTGCCATCCAGGCCATGGTGTTGTCCAGGCCTGAGCTGTGACTGAGGGCCATGGCCATTCAGATGCCTGAGGTCTGGTCTGCCACCTGGGCCATGTTGAGGTCTGAGAGCTGTGCTGAGCCAGCCCTGCTCCTTGATGGCTCTGCGAGAACTGGCCCGACCCTCACCAGTCACCCCAGTGGGAGAGCTGGCACCACCCCTCATGGGAGAGCTACCCCCAGTAACCTGGGCACAGGAGAACTGGGCCTGCTCCTCAGCAGGAGAACTGGCCCCTATGGTGAGTGTGGGAGAGGTAGCTCTCCCCCTTGCCTTGAGGGGGCATCCCTGTGGAGGCCTAGACTGACCAACTCAGCTACCACCCAGGCCCACATCCAGGGCTTTGAGTTCCCCGCTCCCCCTCCACATACATCTACCCCATCCATGAGCTGCTGGAGCATGTGAAGGAACTGATCGTGCAGAACCAGAGCTGTAGGATCTCCGTGATTCAGGGCAATAACAGGACATCCAAGAGGAGTGTCAGTGAGGGTCCAGTACTGATGATGTACCAGAAGAAGCCAGAGGTCTTGAACCAGACCAATAGCTCATTGCAATGAACATTTGCAGGAAAAGCTATTTGAGCAAAAGGGTACACTGTGTGACACATCACAGCTCCCAATGCCACTACAATAAAGGATTATGTGATAGAGAGGCGGGAAAGATGGAGGAGTGATGTGGATCTGTTTTTCTTCTATTGGGAGAAGGATATAGTGGTGAAGGGCAGACATGGAAGGACTGGGAGATGAATGGAACTCTGGTGCATGATGTGAAGTTCCCAAAGAATCAAAAACTACGTTATGAATATCATCAGCATGTAACTTCGCAATGATTAGGTGCAAATGCCAACACCAAGTTGGAAACTTGCAAAAGGACAGCCCATTCAACCAATGATGCTGGCAAACTGGATTGTTACCTCAAAGAATGAAATTAGAGTCCTGTCTCTCATCTGTCCAAAATCAACTCAAAATGGATAAAAGGTCTTAATTTAAAACTGGAAATGCTAAACTTCTAGAAGAAAATACTCTTCAAGACATTGGGGTAAGGAAGACATTTCTGAACAGAGCCTTCCCAGCGCAGGAAAATCCCCAAATACCAGCAGATAGAATGACATGCAATTAAAAGTTTCCACACAACAAAGGAAATGATCACAGAGCAAATGCCTCATAGAATGGGAGACATTCTTTGCCAGCTACAGTGCAGACAAGGGGCTAATATCCAGAATTCACAAAGAATCACACAAATTACGTACTGATGAAATAAAACTGCCAATCAACAACTGGGCTTATGAATTGAAAGACAGTTAAAACAACAAAACAAAAAAACAAACAACAACAATAGCAACAAATCACAATCTAGGCAGTGGTGGCGCACGCCTTTAATCCCAGCACTCAGGAGGTAGAGGCAGGCAGATCTCTGTGAGTTCAGAGGCCAGCCTGGGCTACAGAGCGAGATCCAGGACAGCCAGGACCACACAGAGAAACCCTGTCTTGAAAAACCAAAAAAGCCAAAAACAAAACAAAACATCACAAATGCCTAACATTGTTTTTAATTTATAAATAATCCTTTGGGTATATTTTTCACAAAGAGAGATGACATTTTACTATGTTACTCAAGCTGGCCCTAAGTGCCTGGACTTAAGTCTCAGGCCTCCACCTCCTGAGAAGGGTGGACAACAGATGTGCAGCACCATACCTCCCAAGAGGGATTTTATTTGATAATGTAATCATGATTACATCCCTGATGCCTACCTAGTGCAGTGCCTGGTGCACTGTGGGCACTTAACAAATGGTGAGTTACATTAAATTTCCCTAAAAGAAAGGCTGCAGAGCCGATCTCAAAAGGAGGCATCTGCACACACCTGCTCACTCACCTCCAGAGGATCGAATATCACTGCTGGTGCCACGATGCTGTTCATCTTTGCAGCTTTCTGGATGATCTGTTCTGCCTCTTCAAATCTCCTCTGGGATATGAGCCACCGGGGAGATTCAGGAATAAACCTAGAATTAATTTGCAAGATTTCCTAACCTTTTTATAACCACAAGATTTGATGTTAGCAAATACACATAGCAAAATGGTCCTAGATCATTTTTATGTTGCAAATACTGTAGTTTTAATCAACACGTAGATGCTATTTCTAGGGTACAGTATGGCATTTCAGTGGATCTATATCACCCTCTGGGCAAGCTTTCTAGACTGAGTTAATTCAGGTGGAAGACACACCCTGATACGGCTGGACTGAATAGAAGGAGAAAGTGAGCTGAGCACCAGCACTCAGTGCTCTCTGCTTCCTGTCTGTGGACACAGCGTGACTGGCAACCTCAGGCTCTTGCTCCCATGGCTTCCCTGCAGTGATGATGGACTGTACCCCTAAACCGTGTGCTATGGTAAACTCTTCATTCCTTGTCAGTTATTTTGTGACTGCAACATTTTGGGCAAGGAGTTGTATGGAGCATGGTCTGCCCTTCCTTACTAACCCTCAGCCTGGGTTCCAGAGGAAACTTCCAGATAAATCAGCATATTATCTAGCTCTTAAAAAGCTGTCTTTCAAGGATTAATATATTAAGAGCACTGGCTACTCCTCCAGAAGAGCTGGTTTCAATTCCTAGTACCCACATGGTTGCCAACAACTGTTGTAACTCCACTTCAGGGGATCTGAGCCCTCTTGTGGCTGTCTCAGGCACTGCTAGCATATGGTGCACAGACACACATGCAGACAAAGCATCCATATGCATAAAATTTAAAAAAGTTAACTGATCTTTCAAACTCCAGTGAAACAAGAAACAAAGCAAAACAAACCAGAAAAGGTTATTTTTTCCCAGTACTAATTCCACCTGAACCTTCATACACACCTCACTCTGAAATGTTACTGCTGTAAAACCACAGCAGTCTGGGCGTAAAAGGAAGCAGAGCTTGGAGGAGTCTTGTATAATATTCGAGGGATCAGCCTTAATATTATACATCCCAGGGGCTTAGGAGAGAGAACTACTAATGGTGAGGACTATTTTTGGGAAATAGAATCTCAGCACACTGAGCTCTTTAGTCCATTCACTTTAATTCTCTGGGATAACATCCTATTTACACAGCTCTGTTCTCGGGCCTAGTTCCTTTCTTGCCCGATTTCTCTCTATATTTATCTACTGCTCCCTCTAAGTTCTATCTTAATTCTCTCATATTAATTCTGCCTCATCTAGGTCCTTTTCATCTAGTTCTTACCCAGCTAGTACTTCCCCATCTGACTCTTCTTCATCGTCTATCTCATCCACATGTTCTCTCTGGTCAGAATCTTCCTTATTCCTCTCCGTTCTCTGTCTCTCTGTCTTCCACGTCTCTCTTAAGTCTCCCAGGAATCCAGTTATAAATCCAAGCAATAGCAATCCCCTGGTTGAGCAAGGTCACCAGGCTTGAATTCTATGGGGTCATAAAGGCAGGTAAGAATTTTCCTCAGGCAGTGACCACCAAGTTTCCAGGATCAAACGGAGGGGTGATAATCACATAGAGGGGCAGTAATTGTTAATTATCATTTGCAACCCAAAAGGGAAGTGACTAATGAATTAACTGAAGGCTAAATTCGGGTAATATCTAAGAAGAGGGATCTTAAGTGTTCAACTATAATCTTAAACATGATTGGTAGAAAATATTAAGAATCTGTAAGTTGCTAGGTCAGTGGGAGAAAATAAAACTTCTGTGGGATCCCGTTCTCGGGTTCCTCGTGGCTTTACCCAGCAGGTCCACATAGAGGATGATTAGGACCACGGGCCTGAGTGCAGGTGTCTGAGATGGTCTGCACTTGGCTGTGCTGGGGGAGGAGGTCTTTTGCTCCACCCCTTGGCGTCTCTATAAAAACCCTGGGGCAGAGACAGTCAGGGCCCGTTGGAATAGGTTCCAGGCCCTCTCGAAGCTATCCTTTATTTTCTATCTGTTTATCTCTGCAAGATTCTCCGCAATGAATCCTTCTATCTAATATTTCCTGCTGCTCACACTCAAGTAAACTCTGGGGAACTGTGGGGGTAGTGGGTAAACGCCCCACAAACTGCCTTTTTTCCTGTGGCTCCTATCTGTCCAAGCTATCTGCTGTTTTTCTGTGGGGTGGGGGAAGGTGTGCTTGGTCGCTAGGCAACCTGTGTACAGCTAGATGCCTCTGGTGATAGTTAAAGGGAGATCTGGAACTAGAGGTAAGATTTGGGAAAGGAGGAAGTTAAGCTTAATTGGTACATCCGCCAGGCCTTCTCAAACAGGTAGTCTGTATGCTTAAGCCTGTTCTTAGAGAGTACAGAGGTATCTCTGATAAGGTACTTTCTTCCATCTGGGGATGGACCTGGCCGGATGCTGCCAATGATGATAATTACAGGGAGGCTTGACCTGGGGTTCTGGGCATAGCTGTCAGTGCAGAAAGTTATCTAAATATTCCTAGAAGTGATTAGGTAAGGAGTTAGAGGTCTATAAAGTTAGTAAGGCTGTAAGAAAGGAGGGTCCGAGCTAAATTGTGTAAAGCTATTACTTAACATCCACCTGACCTAGGCGGTGTCTCCTTATGGAATTTACCTTAAATCAGGAGACTAGCATGTGGACTGTTGTTACTGTTAGTCCTTGAAAGTGGCAAAGGGAGATATCTGATTCCAGAGGAAGCCTTTCCTGAGGCTGTTCTCCAAATACCTTGAATGTGTATGTCCAGAGAATGATCAGTCCACACACTATTAGCCCTTCTTAGGGAAAAATCAATGGGGAAAACTATGAAGGCACACATGATTTTCATAATAGAAGATAGCTGATATATAACAAGCCAAATAACACCAAAAGCTCCTTGGAATTTGGCTTCCTCTGAAGGAATTCCTTGATCCCTTCAGGTAGTGACTTTGCCATAACCAGCTGAGTTCTTATATATTCCTGTGGCCTGCAGCAGAGGAGGCCAGCTGAGCCATCCCCTTATCTCAGGCTGAGGGTACACTTGCCAACTCCTGTGGCTGCATGACAGCTGCAGAATGATGGATGTCCTTCCATCCATTTCCCAGGCAGGTGTCACAGGGCCACCAAGAGAAGCAAACTGTGAATTCCACAAAGTGACCAAAGAAACCTGTATTACCTTAGTCATGTAAGCCAGTGGCAATTGAGCAGTTAGTAAAGTGAGTCATTTCTAGAAGACTGGATTTTGACAGAACACAATAAAACCGAGATGAATTAGAGAGAGGTGAGAGAGGAAGTGAATATCAGAGCAAACGGTCTCCTTTTGTCTTGTTTAAACACGAGAAAGTAAGGAAGGGACATTTTGAAGAGGGGGCTGTGGCTAGTACTTTATTACCATTAAAAAAAAATCTGTTCTTGTCAGGTGGAGGTGCAGGCCTTTAATCCCAGCACTCAGGAGGCAGAGCCAGGCGGATCTCTGAGTCAGAGGCCAGCCTGGTCACAAAGCGAGTTCCAGGACAGCTATGCCTACACAAAGAAACCCTGTCTCAAAAAACAAAAACAAACAAACAAAAATCTGTTCTCTTCCCAAAGCCTCCAGTTATCCCTACATGGTAAGACTTAGTCAGGAATCTCCAAACCTGGCTATTCCCACAAGTGCTGTTTAAAAACTGGGTTGGGGAAGCATTTGAGGGCATCAGCTTGGTGGTATACCACTTGCCCAGTATGCATAGGACTCTAAGTTCAATCTCCATCTTAAAACAAATGTTTCCATTAGGGGAGGGGGGCTCCATAGGAGAAATAATACCTTCTCTAAGACTGTTCAAACACAACTAATTTGGGGAGCTGGGAATATGACTCAGGGTGAGCTTGCCTAGCATGCATGAAGTTCAGGGCTCTTATCTCCAGCACTGCATAAACCGTTTGTGGTAGCTAACACCTGTTATCCTAGCATTTGGGAGGCAGAAGCAGAAGGGTAAGAAGTATAGGCCACCCTTGGCTCAAACTGAGGAGTCCAGGGCAAGCCTAGAATACAGGAGACTCTGCTAAAAAATAATTATCATTTTTCAGGACAAAGCATATGTATATATCATGTACACCTTAGATGCTAATTATGAAGAACAGTTACATGTTCCTTGGTCTCTATAGAATTGGTCCCAGGACCCCTGGCAGGTGCCAAAATTCTCTCATGTTCAACCCTCTTACATCAAATTGCATAGTGGTTTGTGTGCCTGTAGGCTAGCTACTCAAGAAGCTGAGGTGGGAGGACCACTTGGGCCCAGGAGCTCAAGACCAATTTATGTAACATAGCAGGCCCGTGTCTAAAACAAAATTGGGACTAGTGTGTAGCTCTGTGGAAGAGTGCTTGCTAGCATGCACAGGTCTTCAGTTCTATCCCCAGCACAGCAAAACAAAACAACTTCAATAAAATAGGTGTAAGATTTATATATAACCTGTGCACATCTTGTATACATGTATCTCTGGATTACTTATAATATCCAACACAATGTATAACACTCCATTTGTGGGGTGTTTGCTGGAGACAGGCCTTGGGTATGCTGCCTTTGAGCTATCTACCATCAGCCTCTCAATAGCTAATGAAATACAAACACAGTATAAGAGTGGCTGGTGTGTACTGTTCTGTGAAAAAGAAGGAAAACAGTTTAAACATGCTCAGGGCACTATTTTCTGGTTCTGTACTTTGCATCACGCATGTGGAGCTCATGAGCAGCTGGGGCAGACTGAATCGTGGTTGAATAGAGAAAGGATTTCTAAAGAAAGTGCCCGAAACTGAGGACAGAGTTAAAAACATTGTCCAACAGTACCAGCTCCACAGACAACACGGAAACGGGCATGAGGCTGGAGTGGGAAGCATCTGGAAGAAGGCTAGAGTTTCTGGGAACCAGGCTTTGTACAGTGCATGCGCCCACTCCCAGAGATGCAGAGAGTGCTGCGAGCTTGGAGGCACCAGGGCAAGCTGCAGTAGAGAGCATGTAGATGCAGCAAGGTGAGCAGTGGGCTCATCTCTGGGGGAGCCTGCCTGCCGCAGCAGAGGGCTGACCAGGAATGGCAGTTGTACTCACCACCACAGGGGGACACACAGCACCCCAGGAAGTGTCAGGGCCAGCAGCAGCATCCTCCAGTCTCGGATGAAGTATGCAAACAGCGGCAGTACCATATAGCCGATTGCAAAAAATGTACAGACTCCTAATGTGGAGAAGATAATTCGAACTGACTTGCTCAGAATTTCAGTTCCTGTTCAAAATAAGGGGGCAGAATTAGCATTTCCACCCTCTTCAACATTTGCTTTATGAGATAGGATTGAACCCACGTATGCTTACCAAGGGCTTTACTAATGAAACTGAAACACCTGCCTTCTGAGAATGCTGCATTTTCAGAATAAGAGGCCAGTGGGAGACACAGACTGTCTTGTCCAGGAGACAAGAATGGCTCTTTTGAGACGCTGGGTGGGAGTCAGGGTGTGGGACGCTTGTCCACAACTCTCATCTGTATGCAAATAGACACTGGTCTATGAGACAACAGTGGTGCTGCCAGCTGTCAGGACACACTCCTGTCCTTGAACCCTCGGACATGATACCCGGAAGCCAGCTGCCTTTGGAGCTTCCCAGAGCGGGCAGCCAGCACTGGAGCTGATGTTCCCCAGGCAGACTGCTCTCTGATGGGACAACAAGGAAGGAGCGCTGTTTTGCTGTCCCTGTAGTGGCAGCCCAGACACTAGGCACACACCCAGTGACCAGTGCAGAGGCTCAAAGCCACGTGCAGTTGGTGGTGTTTGGGGAAGGATATGCTGGCAGCTGGTTCTGTCCTGTGCAGCAAGCAGCACAGTAGGCCACTAGCAGCAGGTCTTCAGAGATGGTGGTGTCACTTAGGTCCGGATTCTAGCACACTAGAAATCTATCCACTCTGGGCCCACTGACCTAAGGACAGAGGTATGGCCAAGGGCACGAGCTTCACCTTTTGTGTAGGGCCTGCCCACACTAGTAATATTGATTACCAAATTGAAGGATCTAGAATCACCCGAAGACAACACTTTGAGCATGTCAGTGAGTTTCTGGATTGAGCTGACTGAGCTAGGAACACCCCTCCTAAATGTGGGCAGCACCAGTGCATGGGATGCCGTCAAGACTGAATAAAAAGGAGAAAGGGAGTCATACTCCTCTGTGGTTTCCTTCTGATTTTTTTCTTTCAGTTTCTGGAGAAAGCTGAGGCTGGGCTTGAACTTCATAGTCTTCTGCTGGATGTCTCCCAAGTTCCAGTGTGGACTAGACTTCTAACCCCAGGGCCACCTCTCTGCCTGTAGACTTTCCCTAGGGTGGTGTCTGATTACTTTGAGTTTCATGAGTACAATTTCCTTACTTTATGAATGACCACACTTTATAATGGTCTGGCTGTCTTTGTCTGAGATTATGATATGATAATGAATGGGTATGTGGTGTGTGTGTGTGTGTGTGTGTGTGTGTGTGTGTGTGTGTGTGTGTGTGTTCTTCCTAAGCAGAAATCTAGAAGCAGAGAATCTGATCATGGACATGAAAAGCACAGAGGACTAAGTGAGACTTGTTTCTGTGTGAGGCCAGTAGATAAACTGTAGCACTTGGACAGGGTATAAAGGAGATGCTAACAGACTCAGGATGAGTTGACTGTGCACCAGATACCAGGCAAAGCCAGAGATCTGCCAGCCTGTGGATCAAGGTGGACTGTACAACTGTACAACTCCGTGTTAGTCCTAATGCTCTATAACTTTTAGGGTCTCTCCCTTCCTTATATACTGCTGTCATTGAGTGAGAAATGTCACTGGTAGGCTTGTGTGTTTGAACACTTAGCCTTAGCTGAGGGCACTATGGGGAAGGTGATGGAGCCTTGCTGGAGGAAGTATATCTAAGGGTAGCTTTTGGGCTTTTCTAGGCTGACTCCCCTTCTTTTTCTCTCTATGCCTCTTACGTGGGGAGAAAATGTTCTCACCCTGTTTCCTGACTGCCAGGTCAGCCCCTGCCCCTGCTGCCATGCCTTCCCACCTCCATAGACTGTAGCCCCTCGGGAACTGTAAGCCAAAGCGAACCCTTTCTTCCCAAAGCTGCTTTTTGTCGGGGTGTGTTATCACAGCCACAGCACAGTAACTAAGATGTACCCGATCGCCATAGTCATTGTGATTGTCACCATTGTCACCATCAGCTTCACAGCAGTTCTTTAGCCCCATTCTAGGCCAAATGCTTACATAAATGATCTCTTTGACTCTAACAGTTAGTCATCTGAGACATAAGGAATTAAAGCCACTTCTCTACATTCACGTATCAGTAACAGTGACATAAACTGGATGTGGCACCTCACACTTAGAATCCCAGAACTCAGGAAGTGGAGGGAGGGTGATCAGGAGTTCTTTGGTTGCATACACTATGAGTTCAATGCCCACTTGAGCTACATGAGACCATGTCTCAACACTCACACACACACACACACACACACACACACACACACACACACACACACACACACAAATGGGCTGGGGCTAAGTGGGTAAAGTGGTGGTTGGTCAAGCATGAGGACCTGAGTTCAACGCCCAGAACCCATATGAAAACTAGACGTGGCTGCACACATCTGTAACTCCAGCATTTGGGGATGGAACAGGAGATCTGAGAGCTTCCTGGCCAGTCAGTCTAGCTGAAATGGGTAAGTCAGATCCAGTGAGAGAGTACAGCAGAAGACTTAGGACATTAACTTCTGGTTTCCACACATGCACATACAAGAGTACCACACATGTACATATACACATATGAACATTATACATGCACATCACACATGCATATACACATATGAACAAAATCCAGATAAAAATCCTTAAACCCAGAGCAAGCAATAAACCCCAACACAGTGATGTAGCCAGAATATAAGTCATATTAGTTGACTGATGTGTGTCTAGCCTTCAAGAAGAAAATTGCCTGGCCAAACCCATGGTCTTATGGACCAGTCCTTCACCTGGGATGCTAGTGGAGACACAAGAGGAGATGAGTGAGGTTTTGAATGTCTTTTAGTCCTTCCTGGGCTGATCATTAAACTGGCTAAGAGCCAAGCAGTTCTCTCTATGGAACACCAGGAGAGGGCCCCAAGTCTGGCAGATTCAATAAGTTCTCTGTGCTCACCCAGAAAAAAGACCCATGGGAGAGATGACATCCAGCTCTGCTCACCAGATCCCCGTCCTCCTCCTCTGCACCATAGGCTCATGTTCCCAGGCAAAGCCTGGCTTCTCAGTGTTTCCTGAGAGCAAAAATCTTACATCCAAGTCAAAGCCATGTCCTGGCTCTGGTGGGATCATGAGCAGCCCTAGGAGATCATGTCCACTAACTGCCTCCTCCACCCAGTAGGCTCCCGTCCTTTGACATCAAAACTTTGTCAGTCAGTCCCAGGAACCACTAGGCACACACCATGAGGGGGCAGCAGGACATGCACCTCAATGCAACAGGGTCTGCAGCTGATTCTAGCTCAGGGAACAAGCCTGGGGAATGAGCATCTTCTAGGATGGGCTGAGGAAGCGTGTCCTACATCACAATGGGGAGAGAGTGTGGGCTCCTCTATGCTAAGTCCCCGATGATGGTTAATATTGCTTGTCAACTTGATGGGGTCTAGAATCACCTTGGAGACAAATCTCTGGGTATACTCATGAGGGAGTTTCTAGATTGGGTTAACTGAGGAGGAAAGATCCCTCTAAATGTGGATGGCACCAGGGTATGGGATAGGGTGCAGGGCTGAATAAAAGGGAGAGAGAAAGTTTGACACAGGTGTTCATCTATTTCAGCTTCCTGACTGATGATACAGTGTGACCAGGGGCCTCATGTCCTGCTGCCATGACAGAAAATATGAGTTTTGTTTTTGAGCTAAGCCAGTCTGTGGTATTTGGCTATGCCATTGCATTCAAATAGACAAGGACAAAGTTACATTTCAAGTTAAAATCATTTAAGGGCTGGCATGTACATCTAGTATACAGTGCATGCAGGAGACCCATGGTTTCATCTTCAATATCACAAAGATAAATACTTTAACAGATAAGTGAAAAATAATAAAAAATAAATATGTGGCTGATAAACGCAGCATAACCAATGATGTAGTCCAATTTCAAAGAAACCTGAGATTCCTGGTAGCCAAAGTTATAGAAGGTGCCATCAGTTGTACACTTACTGAAATGGAAACATATGGGTCAGAGGAAGCAAGCTTTAAACATGTCTAGAGAACTGTTACAGCACGGGATGGCAGGGGTGGGTGTGGGATAGTGGTTGGGTGTTGATGTTAGAAGTACTGGAAAATACTGAATGAATGAATCAGTCAAGACAGGAGGTAGTTAGGTTTTCCCGTGGAAAACAGAGAAGCAGCTCATTACAGGGATGAAGGAGGACGCTGCTGCCATTTTACCCAGAAGTCTGTAGGCAGGTTGAGGGCACTGTGCCTGAGAATGACATGGTGACTGGGGAAAGCTGGGGTTCGAGAGGGTCATTGACCCTGATCTCGAGTCCCACTTCCTCCATCTGCGTGTTGCTTTGGGGATAGGTTTGGCTTGCCTTTTGTATAACCCTAAGACTCTGGCGAGCCTGGTGAGTTTTTTTTTTTTTTTTTTTTTTTTTTTTTTTTTAAGATTTTATTGATCATGTATACAGTGTTCTGTGTGTATGCTTGCACACCAGAAGAGGGCACCAGATCTCATTATAGATGGTTGTGAGCCACCATGTGGTTGCTGGGAATTGAACTCAGGACCTCTGGAAGAACGGCCAGCGCTCTTAACCTCTGAGCCATCTCTCCAGCCCCCGCCTGGTGAGGTTTTAAGAGCAGCCCACAAGAAGACTCTGTACTGCTTTGGGAAGAACTCAGCTTCTGCAATCAGTGCAAAGATTGATTTCCAAGCTGAGCTTTTACCATCCCAAGCTTCCAGATTCTTTCCCAGAGCCCGGAGGATAGAAGTGCAGGGACAGACAGAACTTCTCACATCTGGCTTCAAGGAAAAACCCCAACCAATGCCCCCGGAATGTAGCTATTTTATCCTGACACACCAGAGGGCGCTGCTGGGCTGCAGGAAGACCAGCAGCCACCGTGTCTGTCCTTCCCCAAGTCCTCCCTTGCAGGAGCTGCCTGGGAACTCTGCCTGTTCTGGGACAGATTAGTTTTCAGTGACACTCTTAGGTCTTCAGATCTAAGGTCTTAACACAAGTGTTATCCCAGGACCTAATGTCAGCAGTTTCCTGTAGAGCCCGCTAGGATGAGGGGTGTGGACCCAACGGACAGGGAGCCCTCTATTGGTTGTTGACTTGACACACCTCAGCTCAACCTACCCTTGACCTGGCCCTCCTCTTCTCTACCCTGCACATGAAGGTGAGGCCACATGGGGAGGAGGCGGGGCTGGGGGAAGTGGTTCCAGAGCTGTGGCACTGCTCCACTCTCACAGAAGAGGCTCTCAGAGCTGGAGTCCCTGTGTCTCTGGAGAAGCAGGTCTTGTTCTATGTGACTTGAACAGCTGGGGTTGGGGTCCTGGGAGGCTGAGCCAGTGGATAAAGTGCTTGCCATGAAGGAATGAGAAAGTGAGTTCAAATCCCTAATACTCACCTAAAAGAGCTGGGCACTGTAGCACGTGATTGTAATCCCTGTGCTGGGGAGGCAGAGACAGGAAGATCCCCGGGCTGGGCTGAGCAGGCACTTTAGCCTGGGAGCTCCAGGTTCAGTGTCAGAAGATAAGGTGACTAGCTAGCGTGTTGGCCCCTGATAATCTGAGGTGAGGCCCAGGGACTTAGATGGAGGAAGGAGAAAATGAACTTCAGCAAGTTGTTCTCTGCCCTTCACACATGTGCTGTGGCATGTGTGCACCCCTTTCCATGCACAAAATAACATTAAATTAAAAAAATAGAGTGATTGTGAAAGATACCTGGTGTTTTCCTCTGCCTTCCACCTGCCCGCACTCCTGTGCTTGTGCTTGTGCATACACACACACACACACACACACACACACACACACACACACTCACTCACTCTAAATAAATAAGTAAAATGCATCAGAGGTTGTGACATAGACCTCCTTGCTTGCTTGGGCGTCTTGCTCCCAGCCTGGGCTGCTCTGGGTTTGTCCTTCCATCCAGGGTGACCTTCGGGTCCTCCCCCAGGTCACACCACTCACTGTTTGCAGCTCTTTGCTTCTGCACCAACTTCTCCGCCTTCTACAGAAACGGCAGTTTCTCTTACGGTGAGTTTTGTTTGTTTTGCTTTTATGAGCCGTGCATAGTCTTGCTACATGGCCCAGGCTGTCCTAAAACTTGGCATTCACCTGTCTCTGCTTCCTGACAACATGTGTGCAGCCTCACAGATGACCTCAGCGAAATTCCTGTTCCACTCCTCATCCCTACAGAGAAGAACCGCTCTCTTCATGCCAGGGCCTGCCCCATAGAGGGCTACCTGCTGGGACCATGTGGCTTCTGCTTGCTCTGTCTTCTCCTGTGTGTCCTCCCTCCTCAGACATGAGGCTGGGCCTGTGGCAAGAAACCCTTCACCAATAATTAAAGGAGTGGAGTTTGGACAATTCCACCTTGGCAACCTGACAGAGGGTGTGCATGTCTTTGGCTAACAGAACACATCATTGCCAAGGCCAGTGAGTCACAGGCTCCTGAGAGCAATCAGAGCCCCAGAGCCAGGTGCAAGAAAGGCATTAGAGTTCTGTTAAAGAGGCACAATCAGTAATTATGCTGGGACAATGGGGACAAACTGGGATACTTTGGGGTCAGCTAGAATGGTTGTACTGAAGATTGCAGGACTCAATGTTTACTGTGCTTGGGGTGTGTCTCATCTCCTCTCATCATGGTAGAGGGATCACAGAGTATATTGGTGGTAGGGCTTACACATTTGTGAACAGCCCTGAATGATTTCCATGAAGCTCACCTCATTTCCTTCCCAGAAAAGCTGGAGAGGGTCCAGGGCCTCCTCAAGGCTTAGTAACTCATGGCTTGCCCTCCCTCAGCCTGGCCTTCCGACAGCAGGACTGTTATCACAGAAGCACAGCTGTCCTGTGCAGAGCTCATGTGCTCTGGGTGTGGACTCAGACTCAGGCCAGAGCAGATCTGCCCAGATGGGACAAATTTTTTGCCACTGAGCAAGTGCCTTTCCCTCTGTGTATATGCCCTATCACTCTCCCCGCTTAAGACCCTTTGTAGGCCAGCGGCCTTGTGCCTCCATAGCTCAGATCACATACTTCACATCCCTGTTGTCTTTTCCCCAGGACCTTCTGTCCCAAGCCCTTTCTCCTGAGGATGTCTCAGCTGTTGTGTGGCTACTTCTTCCCAGCTCCAGCTCTTGTTTTTGGCCACATTCTGGCCCAGTACAGATGTCCCCTTGTGAGCCCTGTTCTGCTGTGACTGGCTCAAGGTGCCCATAGCTGCAGCTCCCCTCCCCCCCCCAAACCCACAGTTATCCAAAGTCGAGGACACTTTGGGCTCACACACCCTCAGTGGCTCCCTCCTGCCTGGCATTTTACAGAGTTGGAAGAAGGGGTCCCAAGTCTCAAAAGTCATTCCTACCTAGTATGAAGGCCACCACATAGTTGGAGATCTGGCCCATGCCCACAATGACAAATAACACAGTAAACATCTCCCAGTTGGTGGAGAAAATCTGCACAAAGCTGAATCCAGTCTGCACGGCCATGGTTGCAAAGAGGACTTTCTTCCTGCCAAACCTATAGAACATAACATAGCATAGTATAGCATAATGTAACATAACATAACATAGCGTGACATAACATAACTCAGGGTGTGTTGTAACACCAAGCCTAGCTTCACTGTAGGGTTTGTCTTATCTCAGGATTCAGACAGATTTTTTTCTTCCCTGTAATATCCTGTGAGTCTCCTCCCCAGAGAGGCCTCCAGAATCCACCTGCTCAGGAACTACCTTCCAAGGTGCCAAGCCTTGCTTCTGGAGAAAACAGGCAACTCCTGTGAGGACCACGTGGACACACCTAATGTTTAGAAGGGGCCATAGGAGGGCCAGAGGTGGGGCTCAGTGGAGAGAGTGCTTGCTTAGCACGAATGATGCTCTGGCGTGGAGCCCCAGAATGGTGCATAGCTGTAATTCCAGCACTTGAGAGGTTGAGGCAGGAGGATCAGAAGCTCAAGGCCACCGTTGGCTACATAGCAATTTCGAGGCCATTCTTGACCGTCCTGAGCCTGTCTCAAAAAAAAAAAAGAGGAGCCACTGGTAGAAACTGCCACACCGTTTATGAAAAGTGGGCAAAACACAAAGTGCAGATGGCAGACACTTCTCATGTCACCCACATGGGAATTCTGTAAGTTTAGAAACACCCTCAAGGGCTGTTGCTTCTTAACCTTGGCTGCACTTGGAACCACCCAGAGAGCTTTAAAAATGACAGACAGTCCTTGACTTCCAGTGGTTCAGCTTAGGCCTTCATGACTTTACAGTGGTGAGAAAGTGCTCTGCACTCAGTTGGAATCCCTGCGTTGGATTCTGTACTCTGATTCCCCCCCACTCTCCCTGCTGGACAGGGGTGTGGCCCGTGGGCTTCTCTCTCCATGCTGACAGACAGTGAGGGGAAACAACTGGCCCTCTACATTTGGCTGTTTGCTGAGCTAGCATGTCATATTAGGTGTGTGAAGAGTTTCTTTCAATCTCGTCTTTTCAGTTTCGGGTGGGTTTATCAGGCCAGGGCTTAGGGAAGGTCAAGGAGCACCCACACGCAGCTGCCCAGGTGTGTCTCGGTGTCTCTAAAACTGCAAACCACTGCTCTGTGGGAAGATGTTATGCTCAGCTCTGTCTGGTATGCCACTGCTCAGTTTATTTTTTCATTCTGGCAGTGACTGTCGTATTGTAAAAATGGTGGGAAGGAGTCACACCATACAACAGGGCCCATGTGGGAGTCTTGTTGATGGGAGGGGAGAGAAGGGGCAGAGAAAGGGGAAGAGAAGGGGCAGAGACCAGTCCCTGGGGACAAGAGTGAAGAAAGAGAAAGAGACAGGAGATGGGCAAGGCCCACCTTTTATAAGGAAATGTAGCGAATGCGCAGAGGGGATGCTCTAAGTGGCTGCAGCTGACGTGTATCCTGTCAGGACCCTAAGGGCAGGCCAGTATAGATGCCTAAATGCTGACCGTGACCAGTGGACAGAGTGGAGCATTCTTGCCCCGTTCCCACTGGGCTTTAAAGCTTTCAGAAGGGGCAGATCCCCGGAAGCCCCGTCTAACTATTCAGCACTCTTACCTGCTGTGGCCACAAGAGAACATACAGGGCGGGTAGAACACAACTTGGGAAACTGCAATCTTGTCCCTATGAAGCCTGCAAGCTTTGGTGGCCAAAAGCCAGCCTGGGTCAGTTCTATGGCTGCAGGCCCAGCCGTGGCTCAGCTCCCAGGCTCAGAGAGTGCATAGCTGATTCGACTTGGCTTTACTCTAGCTGCTGGCTGTTTGTACAGCAACAACATGTCATCTGTCCCCTGCCCTGTCAAGAACTGGGGGCAGACTCAGGGGCAGTGATGATACCAGCATCCTGTTCTGTGAAAGGGCTTGTGGCAAAAGGGCCCCACTTTCTAGTGGGGTCAATATTTCTATCTCTTTGGTCAAAGCCTTTGAGTTCAGACTGGAGTGTGACAGAGTGGGTCTTGGCAGGATGCTGAGGCTAGGGCTACATATGAGTGTCATCTGTGAAAGACTTATTTATTTACTTAGCTAGTCAGTCACTCAGTTAGTTAGATAGGCCGGGTCTTATTATGTAGGGGTGCTCCTGTCAAGGTTGCATACTAGATTTTTCTGGGAAAGATAGATTTAGTTAGTCAGACAGGGTCTTGATATAGAGTCCAGGCTGACATTGAACCTTTAATCCTCTCTTCAGACCCCAGCCTTCCAAGTGCTAGGCTCTTCCTACTATCCACTCAGTGCCTCGAGGATTCTTCTCTGTGTAGAAAGCCTATGACCTTGGTCTTATGTCAAGATAGGCTGTGGACTGATAAGTAGCTCCACCTCAGTGTTCCCCATCCAGAGTTCTTACCTGTCCGACAGCTGCCCAGACACGAAGGAGCCGCAGAGAACGCCTACGAAGAACAGGGAGGTGGTGAGGGGTGTCTTCCAGTCATCCTCACACACCAGATTCCACTGCCAACAAGACAGCATGCAACGTGAGCCCAGTCCTCCAGCAGGACCCACCCGTGCCCCACTCCAAGGAGCGCCAGATGGATGCCAGGGGCACTGTCCTCCCTTGTGCCAGCCTGCTGGCTCTGTGCAAAGGGCACAGCTGTGCCTTGCAGCTTTGGGTTTGACTCTGCCAGTCAATGTGGCAGGTAGCCTGGGGCATGCCCCTGTCTCCCATTGAGACACTAGCTACCTCTTCAGGAGGGAGGAGATGGCTTCAACCTGCTTGCATTATGTATCGAGAAGGCTGGTGAGCCCTCAACCACAAAGCAGTATGAAGCAAAGGAACCCTTGTCCCTTTGAGGCAGCACAGAAGGGAGAGATTTGAAAAGCCAGAAGAGTAGGGCAGAAGACCTAGCCAGTCGGTCCAGGAGTAAAATGTTGAACAGTGGAAATAGTTGCAGCGCTGTGTGAGTTTATTTTTTAAGAAGACTTCTCAGCAAAGTATTGGCTCCCTGGTCCCCTCAAACCTAGTCGCGGAGCATCTGACCCACTCCAGGGACCACTGTACCAGCACTGCCAGCCCTACCCACCCTTTTCGAGGCTTGTCTAAGCCTCCTTCCTCCACTCCTCTGCCCTCCCTCCCACCCAGCCTTCCCAGCAGTGTGGGCCCTCCCAGTCCCCAGGCCCTTATGGCTCCTACTAAACACTAACAAGTTCCTGCTGGTGGATCCATAAAACCAGTTTCTGGCAGAGTTTCTGCTCCAAGATTTCCACTGAAGTCAATGCAGCCCAGTCTCAAGGGAGGTGCAGAGGTTTCCAAGTGTGCTTGGAGACCTCTGTTTATATATTTTGGGCTTGAGGTGTGTGTGTGAGCAGTGTGTCACAAGATAAGCCAGCAGAGGAGAAGGACCCTCCAGCCCACCCCTTGCTCTACTGTGTGGGCATTTGTGGAGCAGCTCTGTTAGTATTCCCCATAGCTGCCGTCAAAGTGTAGTTGATTTAAATTAATTCGTGCATATGCATTATGCCATATCGCATTCTGTAGTGCAGAGAGGTGTGTCTAGAAACACTGACAAATGTAAAGCATAAACCAACATGCTAAGGCAATCAGGGCAAAAAGGTCAGGGGGGCTTATAAAAACTCAGGTCAGGGGTCACAGCAGACTGTCCTGTCCAAGGGTCTACCTGTGGCAGTGGGGTTCCAGAGCTGGCTTTGGCTATCCCAGCATCTCAGCTTTAGAAGGGCCTCGTGAACCCACAGTGATCTGAGAGCAGCAGCTTGCCTAAGTCCTGAGACCTAAGGATTTCCCCTATAGACTTCCTTCCATAAAGGGTCACTCCAGGCTCATGATGTCGGTAGGGTGTCCAAGCATGGCTTGGCAGAAGGAAAACATGGACCAGGAAGTCACTTCTCCAGCCTTCAGAAGCAACCAAGGCTCAATCTCAGGCTAACTGGAATGACGTTACCTCACCTGGTGCTATGGTGTGACTGTTGCCACTAAAACTCATGGTGAAATTTAATCCCTATAGTAAGGGATTAAGGAAGTAAACATACTTAAATCAACAATGGTGTTTGGAGGTAGGAATTTTGGGTGGTGATTAAGTGAAATGAGATGACAGGGTGGGGCTTAACCCAAGGGACAGCAGCTTTGTAAGAGGACAGATCTAAGTGAGTTTTCTGTCTCACTATGAGATGCCCTGTGCAGGAAGGTCCACATTAGACACAGCCCCTGGCCTTGAACTCCTCAACACTCATAACCTCAATTTGAACAAACCTTTATTCCAAGTGTGTGTTGGTATGTGTGTATGGTTTTCTATATGTGTGTGTGTGTGTGTGTGTGTGTGTGTTACATACATGTGAGTGTGCATCCACACATATGGAGGGTAGAGGAAGACGTCAGGTGTCTTTCTCTGTCACTTCCTGTCATTCCCTGAAATAGGGCCTCTCATTGAACTGGAAGCTCCCAATTAGACTATGCTAGCTGGCCAATGTGTTCCCAGGATCTACCTTCCTCCAGCCTTTAATGCTGGGGTTATAGACATGTGCAGCCATGCCTGACATTTTTACATGAGTCCTAGGGATTTGAACTCAGGTCTATGGGCACCCACATAGCAAGTGTTCTTACTCAGAGTCCAAGGCTTCATTCTTTATAAATTACCCAGAAATGGGGCCAACAAGGCTCGGAGGGTTAAGGTGCTTGCTGAGTGAGACTGGCCACCTGAGTTCAATTCCTGACGCTCACGTGAAGGTGGGAGGGGAGGACCAACTTCACAAAGCTGTCCTCTGACCTCCACATGCCCGCTGTGGTACATGCACTCTCCCCCTACACATACACATTACCCACCCATCCACACTAATATTAATAAATGAAATAAGGTTAAAAAGTAAATTACTCAGAAATGAAAATGGACCTGAGGTCCCTGAATGGGCTCTGAGAGATAAGACAGACAACAAGTCCTCGACTGCTGTCCAGCCAGCTTCCTGTGCTTTGCCAGTCTACAGACCAGAGGGAATAGCCAAGATGTGTCTGAGTAAATGGCTGCCTTCCTCCAAAAGTAGCTGGCTAACACTCAGAGAGCAGCTTGAGATCGAACCCTGACACACAGAGGCACGTCATTGCATCTCCAAGGGCAGGGCAAAGAGTTCCCACACTTCTTCAGGCACGTGACATTAGAATGGAATTGCTTGGGACTGGGGGTAGAAGGCCTCCATCACCGCATTCAGCCTTGTGCAGAACACAGCAAATCTTACGCCAGCAGTGGCCTTACCATGCCAGCCATTAGCCATCACTATTCAGCTGCATCTTGACAGCAAAGAGCTTCCAAGTGGAATGTTCTCTGCTTTGTGGTTTTAAAAAATTGTTTCACTGTCAGGACTTTGAAATAGAGAGGCAAAGAAAGGGCTTCGTGGCCGGCACAGTGGAGCACGCCTTTAATCCCAGCACTTGGGGGAGGTGGAGCCAGGAGGATGCTGAGTTCAAGGCCAGCCTGGTCTACATAGTGAATTCCAGGACAGCCAGGGCTACACAGAGAAACACCCCTGTCTCAAAACACCAAAAACAAACAAACATAAATAAATAAATGGACTTAGAGACAGAAAGGAAAGAGAAAGGCTGATGGCGATGGAGTCAGACCCAGCATGAGAAAAAAAATGGGTGGGAATTCTACTAATGTGTAGGCCCAGTGCAAACCGAACTGGCTGAACCCCTGGTTCAAAAATGGCAAGTACAAAATTTAGATGACCTTCACTTCTCCTTTTTTCTCTCTTTAGTTCTCTCTCCCTTTTTCTTCCTTTCGTGTGTGTGTGTGTGTGTGTGTGTGTGTGTGTGTGTGTGTGTGTGACACACACATGTCAGAGGTCAACATTGACAATTGCAGGTGCCCTCCACCTTATTTTTTGAGTCAGGGCTCACTAATTAGGCAAGGCCTGTTGGTCAGAAAAGCCTCAGGTGTCTCTCTGTCTACCTTTCCCAGTGTTGGGATAACAAATGTACTTCACCACGCTGAGCTTTTTCACATGGACTCTGGGGATCAGACTCAGGTCATCCTGCTTGCATGGCAAACACTTTATTGACTGAGCCATCTTCCTAGGCCTGAAATTAAGGGTTTCCAGACAGATATGGTGGTGTAAGCCTAGAGGATCGGGAGTTTTGAGGCTAGCCTGTGCTATACAGCAAGTCCTTGTTTCAAAAAAAAAGTTTTGGAAGAAAGGAACAAAAAAAAAAGAATTTCAAAACACCCAAAGAACTTTGTGATCAAGTGTGGGGGCCCTGTGTGACTATACAGGTTGGACACCATGAAGGTAGCCTGTTGGGGACAGTAATCAAACCTGATTTCTTTGTACAGAAGCATGGTGTTGGGGAGGGTGAGATTGGTTCAGTGCCCTGCAACTCTTTCCTGGAGACCATGGCTGAGGTTCTCTTTCCCTCCATGAAGAGGAGGAGGTGCCCAACAAGGTGTCCTGACCAGCCATGAACACACAGTAGCCATTTGCCCCAGTCCCGTATCGGGTACTGCATGTCTTTGGGGACCCTGGTAAATGTGGTTCGACAACACTGGCTGTCTACGGTTTGCTCCAGGGTCCAGTTACCTTCTGAGGGTTTTTGTGTCCAAGGAGTCTCTTGGGAAAGCTGTGAGGAGCTCTGGTTTACAGAAAAAGTCCTAGTTGGGGCTTGTGGGACTAGAGTCCAGTAAACCAAGCAGTAGTGCAAAGAGAAGCCTTTCCATCCAAAGGTCTGCTGTTGGGGAAGCAAGGCCCTGACTGCTTTTAACCCCTTGGGATTTGAGGGATGTGTCTTGGAAACCCCACTAGCCAGGACCCAGTGAACTCTCTGTGGTAACGGGTGCCATAGTCAATCTGTTGGAAGACCTGTTTCTCTTGATGGGATGGAAATCCTACCCACATGAACACACATGAACACACAAACACACTACTAGTTAGAGGATCAGAGCCTAAAAGTGGATGTCTCACTAACCAGCTGCCTGGCCTTGTTCTGGGGAATGTCCTTTTAAGCCAAACATTAATGTTTTCAAAACAGGCTCCCCCTTTCCTTTCTGGTGAGAGTGAAATGTAGCAACAAGCTGGCTCAAGCTATGTAGGGGGAGGAGTACTGGATGTGCACCACCCCCCCAGATCCTCAGGGTCTAAGACTGAGGTTGTTAGAATTCTGCCCTCACTCTAGCTGTGTGATCGCACATGCGCAGTTCAGGAGCTAAGCAAAGGGTATTGCATCTTAAGTCATCAGTGTACACTGGTGACTATGTGCACGCAGCATGGTCACGCAGTCAGCGCATGTCTGGTGTAGCTCCGTAAGCCCACCTGCTCCTTAAAAAGCCGGACACAGACCCCCTCCCTTCTCTGTCCTGTCTTGCTCCCACTATCTCTATCCCCCTCTCTCTGCTCTGTGCACGTGCTCCTTTCCCAGGCCTGGTTCTTCTGCACCCCGCTCCTCCTAATAAAG